CGAATCCTGTCCCGGGACCGCAGCTGCTTGGACCCGTTCACCAGCCGCCAGAGCATGCAGGCACTGGCCGGCCACGCTGGCATCTCTGTCTCCGAGGGGTCCGTCCGCGAGTCCGCAGACATGGATGTTGTTTTGGAGTCCCTCAAGTGCCTGTGCAACCTCGTGCTCAGCAGCCCTGTGGCACAGACTCTGGCAGCAGAGGCCCACCTGGTGGTGAAGCTCACAGAGCGTGTGGGGCTGTACCGAGTGAGGACCTACCCCCACGACGTTCAGTTCTTTGACTTGCGGCTCCTCTTCCTGCTAACGGCACTCCGCACCGATGTGCGCCAGCAGCTGTTTCAGGAACTGAAAGGAGTGAGTCTGCTGACTGACACGCTGGAGCTGACGCTGGGGGTGACCCCTGAAGGGAACCCACCCAGGCTCCTTTCTTCTCAAGAGACTGAGCGGGCCATGGAGATCCTCAAAGTGCTTTTCAACATCACCCTCGATTCCATCAAGGGGGAGGTGGACGAGGTGAGCACTGACGGCAACCCAGGGATGCCTCTTAGCTCAGGTCCAGCATTTCCTGGAGCTGCTTGCTTCCCACTGGGTTCCTTCAGGTTTCTGAGGGTCGGACATAGAGAGGATAGGCCCTCTCAGCCTGTTGGGACAAGGCCAAGGAGATGCCAGTTCTGGGCTGTGACTTCAGGGAAAGTTTCTGAGGAAAGTAGAGGCGGCTTCTGGCTCTTGCTGTCTGGTAGGAGGGCTGTGTGGTGTCAGGGGAGATTGTAAGAGATCCTTCACCATGAGGCCATGAGTGGGGCTGAGACAGTGTGTGTGACTTCATCCTCAGGGAATGTGTTTCTACTTAGGGAGGTGCTTTTAAGAAGACAGAGATTAGCTGGGCATGGTGGCGCGTGCCTGTAATCCCAGCTACTCAGGAGGCTGAGGCAGGAGAATTGCCTGAACCCAGGAGGCGGAGGTTGCGATGAGCCCAGATCGCGCCATTGCACTCCAGCCTGGGTAACGAGCGAAACTCCGTCTCAAAAAAAAAGAAGACAGAGGTGGTCATCTTTTGCCTCCAACACTACCAAAGTCACTTAGGAGACCCCAGGGGGCCAGGGATGGAGTGTGGGAGCTGCACAGTCAGTGCCTCATATTCCTGGAGTGCAACAGACAGTAGAGCCTCAGCAGGCAGCAGTGGGATGAGGGGGGCTCCTCACAGGAACCCTTCTTTCTTTGGTCAGGAAGATGCTGCCCTTTACCAGCACCTGGGGACCCTTCTCCGGCACTGTGTGATGATTGCTACTGCTGGAGACCGCACAGAGGAGTTCCATGGGTGAGGACGTGGCTTTTTCTGTGGCCACATTGTTTAGCTGGTGGTCCTCAACCCTGGCTGTGGACCAGAACCACCTGAGAGCCCAGGCCCCATCCCGGGGGGTCTGACTTTGGGTGAATGGTGCTGGACATCAGTGTGTTTCCAGAGAATACCGAGTGCTTCTAATAGGTAGCCCGGACAGGAGCCATGAATCTGGGGACAGGAAGGTGCCAACTGGACTTTGGGTAGTGGCAAAAGACAGCATGGTATTTACTGGGGCATTTTGGTACCTTATCCCCATTCTTGGGCCACCTGCCCCTAGGTTGATCTGGGTTTCCAGAGATGGTGGCACTTTGGCCCAGACAGCGTGGGGCGGTTAGGGTGTCTGAGTGCCCCCACCTCCCCAGGGGACCCCACTGTACAGCTGAGTGGCAGTGCCACTATGATCAGTTACTGCCCTCGGCTTTGGTCCCTAGTGCTGCTCCTTTAGACCCTCAGACGTCAGCTCGTGTGATGTGTGGTTCAGCGGGGGCACAGAGATTGCCCTGTGCCAAGGGATTAGCCCTATCGAGACCCCCGTCTCCTCCTGTCCCCAGCCATGCAGTGAACCTCTTGGGGAACTTGCCCCCCAAGTGTCTGGATGTTCTCCTCACTCTGGAGCCACACGGAGACTCCGTGGAGTTCATGGGAGTGAATATGGATGTGATTCGTGCCCTCCTCATCTTCCTAGAGAAGCGTTTGCACCAGGTAGGCTGGGGATGGCTCTGCAGGCCACCCCAGTGGCTCTGGCACTGGCTGTCCTGCACAGCTGTGGTCAGTGCTTCCACACTGGTAAGTGGAGATCATCTTGGTGTTGTGATATGGGCAGTTCTTTCAGCTGTTCTGAGGTCCAACCTGGCAAGAAGCCAGATCCTTCCTCTGTGAGAAGCATGTGGACACCCTCCACACACTTGAAAGTTTCACTTTTGCTTAAATATTTGTGGATCTTTATTGAGTGGTCCTGAAAAGCCCCCCAGTCCCTGCTTTTAACTCTTAGACACAGGCAGCCCTTGATTACAAGCATGGCTGTCCCTCAGCACCCTGAAGAGACCCACAGGAACCTCTGATCAAAGGTTCCCTCTGATTCCTGTGACTGCACTGTGGAGCATCTGGACAGCTGGGCTCTAACCATTCTCCAGGATCTTGCAGAAAGCAGGCTGGAGGGCAGTAAACTGAGATTCAGTAGACATCTTGGGACTCTGCCTGCCTAAGCAGAGGACACACATGGTGCATGTCAGCCAGTCAGGATAGGGACCTGGCATAGGGCATACAGCTGGGGTCGTCTGTCCCTGTCGCTGCCACTGCTGATACTGGGGTCTAGGTACATCAAGCTAGGAGGGACAGGAGCTCCCTGCTCTCTGTCCATGAAGTACACCGAGCAGGGATTCAGTTCTTGTTTCTTTTTGCCACCATCATCTGAGGTCAGTGTGTGCGCCAGTGGTATGCTAAAGCCTTAATTGCTTTGTGTTTATAATTGAAGCATCCCTGGCTTATAATTGAAGCAAGTTAAACTTCAAGCAGTTATTTGAGCCAAGTCACAAAACTTACAAGTACTTCTGAGTTAGGCTGTATCCCCGCCCCTTTAAAAACTGACACAGATACCAACCACCCACTCTTGGCCCTCCACTGACTAACTGCAGAGGGGTCTCTTTCCAAACCCCTGCCGCCAGGACCAGCTGGTGTGTCTTGTGGGGGGCAGTGGGTTGTGGGGGTGTAACTGCGCCAGCCTCAAATTAGGTAGGACCACAGGTGGGATGACAGAGGCTTCTCTACAGACACACAGGCTGAAAGAGAGCGTAGCCCCTGTGCTAAGCGTGCTGACTGAGTGTGCCCGGACACACCGCCCAGCCAGGAAGTTCCTGAAGGCCCAGGTATGAGGCTCAGAAGCTGGCGCTCCTGGGGGATGTGGGCTGGGCCCTGATCACAGACCCTTGGCTGCTCCAAGCCCAAGCTGAGGGACAGCCGCCTCCCCAGGTGCTGCCCCCTCTGCGGGATGTGAGGACACGGCCCGAGGTTGGGGAGATGCTGCGGAACAAGCTTGTTCGCCTCATGACGCACCTGGACACAGACGTGAAGAGGGTGGCTGCCGAGTTCTTGTTTGTCCTGTGCTCTGAGAGTGGTGAGTTACGGAGGCCTGGGTCCCAGCCCACCCCACCCCGAGTGAGCCAGGCGTGCACTGATCTCTGCCTTGCTCTTCAGTGCCCCGATTCATCAAGTACACGGGCTATGGGAATGCTGCTGGCCTTCTGGCTGCCAGGGGCCTCATGGCGGGAGGCCGGCCCGAGGGCCAGTACTCGGAGGATGAGGACACAGACACAGATGAGTACAAGGAAGCGAAGGCCAGGTGTGTGCCCCCAGCACACCCTTGGGGCTCCACTCACAGCCCCCTAGTCCCTGTTGCTACAGCCATGTGGACCCCTGTAGGGTGGGTGGGACAGGATGACGCATGGGCGAGACCTTCCAGAATCAGGCTCCTGTTCCTAAGTGCTATCTGGGATACCAGAAGGTGGCAGGTGGCAGGACTTGGTTAACTGTGCTGCTCCTGGAAGGAGGCCCCTTCCTGCAGTTGCCTTGCCCTGCCCCCTCCCACCCCAATGGGAAAATGTCTTGCCTCCTGTCCTGGAGAGTCACTAATGCATTCCCTACACTCTACCCCATGGGAAACAGCATAAACCCGGTAACCGGGAGGGTGGAGGAGAAGCCGCCTAACCCTATGGAGGGCATGACGGAGGAACAGAAGGAGCACGAGGCCATGAAGCTGGTGACCATGTTTGACAGGCTCTCCAGGTGTGTGGAATGAGGAGGAGGTGGGGGGAGCCTGCAGCTGGGAGAAGGGAGAGCTGACCCACATCCTGTCTTGTGATCCCCAAGAGGAGGTAGGGTCAGAGGAGAGCTTAGGATCCTGACAAGGCTGCATTACTTACGTTTGAAATCACTTGCCCTGGAGGAAAGCCCCCAGGGGATGGGCATATTGAGGTCAGTATTGTGCCCATTTTACAGATAACTGAGGCTCAGAGAACTTAAGAGACTGTCTAATGTCTCTGGACTTATTGGAGATGGTCCAATGTCCAAATTCAGAGACTGTTTAAGGACAATTTAGATGTCTCAAGAAACTGCTTAAAGCCATGAAGTAGCAGTTAGGATTTGGGCCCAGTTAACAGAAGGTCCAACCAGGCTTCCCCAGTAAATGGGAGCAGCCTACTTGGTGGAGAGGAAGGTAGCAGCCAGGGGTGAGCAGGACCCCTGTCTGGCCAACTAAGCCCCTTTCCCAGCCCAACTGCACCTTTCCCCCACAGGAACAGAGTCATCCAGCCAATGGGGATGAGTCCCCGGGGTCATCTTACGTCCCTGCAGGATGCCATGTGTGAGACTATGGAGGAGCAGCTCTCCTCGGACCCTGACTCCGACCCTGACTGAGGATGGCAGCTCTTCTGCTCCTCCATCAGAACTGGTGCTGCTTCCAGAGACTTCCTTGGGGCTGCAACCTGGGAGAAGCCACATCCCCCTGGGCCCATGCCCCTCTCTCCATCTTGGAAACCCTTTCTCTTTACTCCCTGGGTTCTATTCATGATTTGCCCCTGGTTCAGTTTCTTATCTCTGGACTGCAGTGGTCTTCAGGGCCTACCTGGGCATACAGAAGAGCATGCGTGTGGGAGGGCAGGGCGTTGGGCGTGGGCGCACACAGCAAGCACATCTGAGATTGGCATGTGGGCCAGAGTGGGTACTTCATAGGGAGAAAGAACCTGTCAGAACTTCACGTACGAGTATGTTAGAACGCATGCTGCAAGTTATGCTCTGTGGTTTCTGTCCTGTTTTCACTGGGCGCAGGGCTGGAGGCCTCTAAGATGTTCTTGGTCCTTGTTGAGCTGCACACTGTAGTATCCACAGTGCCCAGGTTCTCGCTGGTTCTGGCAATTAAATCTCAATCCTTCCTACTGGCTTAGACTACACTTAGGAGGAGAATGCCCCTCCTGTGACCACAGTTTGAGATTTATACCATAGACACAGAAACATCGTCCTGAAATAAAGAGTTCTGAGCAATGTTTGTGTAAACTGTTCAAGGGGCCAGGCACCGGGGCTCACGCCTGTAATCCCGACACTTTGGGAGGGCAAGCCAGGAGTTCACGACCAGCCTGGTCAATGTAGCAGAACCCGTCTCTTAAAAATACTAAGTGTAATTACTCCAAAACCTAAAATGCAAAAAAAAAAAAAAAACTAAAAATACTAAGCGTGATGGCTAAGCCTATGTGCTAAGCATGGTGGCCCACGCCTCTAATCACAGCTACCCAGGAGGCTAACAAGAATTGCTTAAACCCGGGAGGTGGTGGAAGTTGCAGTCAGCTGAGATCGCAACACTGCACTCCAGCCTGAGCGGCAGAGAGACACTCAAAGAATAAAAAATCAAGTAAAGGAATATTAAGTAGAGTTAGAAACTGATTTCATTCTTTTCAGAATTCAACACTTTTTCTAGGTCACCACTTCTGTCAGAGGCAGTGCTCAGGACTAGGAAGTGCTTTTGTCTGGGGAAACAAGCAGGTGATCTGATGCTAGGGAGGGGATGTGCCTGCATGTGGGTGGGAGCCCGGGGGAAGCCACTGGTGCCTGAAGGGGTGAGCCATCAGAGCTGGGCCTTGGTGCAGCCCCAGGAGAAGAAGCCTGTGCAGAACTTGGAGCTCAGCGGATTCTACCTGCTATGTCACAATCCAGCAGGTGGCCAGGACTTAGCCTGGGTTTTCAGTGAGTAAGTCTTCCCCTGTCTCAAAGATGAGCTCTGGCAGTGTCACTGGAGAAAGCCCTAGGGGAGGGGGCAGTGTGGGGACAAGGAGACCAGATAGAAAATGCTAGAATATTCTGGAACAGATGTTTCTGGAGATGATGAGTAAGGAAACGTCAGTAGAACATGACCACCTTCAGAGGGAGAAGCTGGGCCACCTCCAATGAATCCAGAGACAGGTGCCTTCAGTCCTCGGACTGTTACAACAGGGGATGCCGTGTACCCCAGGTTCCCTTTCCAACTCAGGTCAACACCCGCAGTCCTTTGATGGAGGCTAAAATGTATTTCATGCTGAAAATAAAGGACAGGTTTTCTCTAATTAAAAACAGCCCTGCTAAAGGAGACCAATGTGCTAGAAGTGTAGCACCAGAGCCTCAAGACTACACTTCAGGACACGAAGAGGGCTGGGGGCTGCTTGGCCCAAGTCTGGGTCTTCTAATCAACAGATGCTGAACTTGCCCTTCAGACGGGGACCTGGCACAGAGAACGCAGACCCAGGCTGGCATTCTACTCTGTTTCACTTCAAGAGGGTCCTTGTCAGGAGAAAGCTTTTTCCATTAAGAGCTTCGGCAGTGAAGAGTTAAACACTGCAAACAGGCAGGCAGGCAGCTCCTTTGCATATATGACGGGGTGCCCCTGAACGGAAACAGCCCTACCAGTCAGCACAGCCCACAGCCTGGGAAGACAGTCCAGTGGCAGCCTCAGGTGTCCACACAGTTCACATATTCTGGTTTGACCAAACGTGTAAACCCGCCCAAGCTGTCTTCAGGCACGAGGTCTCGTCAGAATTGGGAAGTGGATGGCTCCTATGGCACCATTTCCTGTGTGGGGCAGCTGCCATCCTATTTGTCTGCTCCATCAAGCTGGAACACAGAAGACAGGTGTCAGTTGTCTGTTAACATATCCAGGCAGCCAGCAGATCTCTGGTCACACAGCTCTAGCGGCAGATATGCAAAATATTTCACAAAACAAGCTGCTTTCTGCAAATGCTGCTGTTCTGCTGGGCTAAGATCCCAACAGGCCTGGGCAGAACAGTGTGGCTAAATGGAGAGCCTCGTTCTCAGGGAATTTAAGTGCCCAAATCAACATTTACTGATGATCATGTGCTTAAAAATATTCACTACTTGGAAAAGTAACCCCTAGGATAGTAAATAAAAAACTCTAAAATCATAATACATTTTATATAAGTTTTTAAACAGTTCAAATCCCGTTGGGCCACTTCCAAAAATCCACAGGAGCTACCTGGGTTACAATCTGCTTTTTTATGAAAATAGGAAGTTGGGCCAGGTGTAGTGGCTCACACCTGTAATCCCAGCACTTTTGGGGAGTCTGAGGCGAGTGGATCACCTGAGGTCAGGAGTTTGAGACCAGCCTGACTAACACGATGAAACCCCATCTCTACTAAAAATACCAAAATTACCCGGGCATGGTGGCGGCTGCCTGTAATCCCAGCTACTCGGGAGGCTGAGGCAGGAGAGTCGCTTGAATCCAGGAGGCAGAGGTTGCAGTGAGCTGAGATTGTGCCACTGCACTCCAGCCTGGGCAACAAGAGCAAAACTCTGTCAAGAAAGAGCAGGAAAAGCCTCCCTCAAAAAAGCCTGCTAGGCTGATCGAAGATCTCTGCTGCCTTGTGAGCTGGCCAGGAGGCACTCGCCTCTCAACGTTTAAGCCTCATTGTTAGCTGGGTCCCCTGCTTCCATAATGAAGTGACTGGGATTGGTAAAACTCTGCCTGTAATGGGAGGCTGGGGGTCTCTGACTGGTGGAGGTGAGGGGAGTGCTGACCCCATGGCCCTGAGCCATGTGGCAGGCACAGCTGTGGGCAAGAAAAAGGGATCAGGATTTCCTGACGTCTGCCTTGGAAGACAAGAAGAGCCTCAGTTGTGATACATTCTGGTTGATACGGTTTGGCTGTGGCCCCACCCAAATCTCACCTTAAATTGTAATAATCCCCACAAGTCAAGGGCGGGGCCAAGCGGAAGTAACTGATTCATGGGGTTTTCCTGACTGTTCTTGTGGTAGTCAGTCTCACAGGCCTAATAGTTTTATAAAGGGCAGTTCCCTGCACACATCCTCTTGCCTGTCACCACGTAAGACGTGACTCTGCTCCTCCTCCTCCCTTCCACCGTGATTGTGAGGCCTCCCCAGCCACATGGAACTATGAGTCCATTAAACCTCTTCCCTTGATAAATCACCCAGTCTCAGGTATGCCTTTAGTAGCAGCATGAGAACAGACTCATACACTGGTGAAATCCCTGTGGACAGTGTCACAACTGCCTGTAACCATAACACAGGACTTTATTTATTTTTTATTTTTTTTTGAGACGGAGTTTCGCTCTTGTAACCCAGGCTGGAGTGCAATGGCGCGATCTCGGCTCACCGCAACCTCCGCCTCCTGGGTTCAGGCAATGCTCCTGCCTCAGCCTCCTGAGTAGCTGGGATTACAGGCACATGCCACCATGCCCAGCTAATTTTTTGTATTTTTAGTAGAGACAGGGTTTCACCATGTTGACCAGGATGGTCTCGATCTCTTGACCTCGTGATCCACCCGCCTCGGCCTCCCAAAGTGCTGGGATTACAGGCATGAGCCACCGCGCCCGGCCCTAACACAGGACTTTAAATGCTTCCTGCTACCTCCCATTGAAAACTCTTAATATCCAGGCTATACATGCTACAGGATTCTCATGGGAAACTGCATTTTCTGTAACCTCGTTTACCGGCGGTTTGGAATCTCTTAGAAAGCATCAAGGCTCTCTGGCTTTCCTCAGTGGTTTATAATAGATCAATGGCTTTCATAGCAATTACTTCCTGAAAGCATCACTGGGATGGCCTTCATCCCACACAGGTGCAGAGAACTTTAGCTTCTCAAAGTTCTTTAACCCATATCCCAGAATCATTTACCAGGCCTTAGAGGGGCACTACTGGCTGCTCTATTTCAGGGGGAAGCCAACACCTGTAGTGTGACAAGACTACAGACTCATCAGCCCCGAGTGCCTGGACCATGTCCCTCCTGGCCCTGTTAGCATCTGTTTCTTCATCTCTAAATGAAGGTATCGAAAGTAATGCCCAGTCAGGTCCAGGTAGTGTCTGGTCCACGATTAACAGCATCATCAGCTATTACTGTGTAAGCCAACAGGGCTCCATACCGGGGGACCATACCCTGGAGCAGGGATGAGGGCGGCCCCCTGAATGGCCCTGCTCAGCAGTCTGTACCTTCCCAGTTTCCCGCTGGACAAGGTCCCGCATCTCTTCTGTCCAGCCCAGAAGCTCCACTAGCCTTTCCACGCTCTGAACCACGTCCCCCAGCTGGGCCACGTCCCTACTGCGAGGATGCCAAGCCAAGGGCCCCACCAAGTCCCAGTTGATGAGCAGTCGGGGAACTGAGCTCCGCACGGCCTCGGTCAAGCTGGCAAAAGGCTCCACCTGAAAAATGGCAAACGTGAGGGACACAGTGTCCACCCTACGAGCCCCTAGGATGTTTCATGCCACAGCCACTCAGGCCTTGGAGGAGCAGCAGACTGGCAGATCCTGCAACATAGGGAAAACCTACCACCAACCTGATTTCTTCAGTTGAGCTCCCGCCGCCTGGTCTCAGGGACGCTGCTTCCTCCCCTCAGCCTCCCTCTCCTTCCGGCACAACCTGGCCTCTCCCTACCTCCGTTCAAGGCTCTTCAGGACTCCGTCCTTCCTACCCCCTCGTTGTGAGCACGTTCCGTTCTCCCTGTCCTCCCCACCACGCTGTCTCCCAGCACGCCACGGAGGGACAACAGCACACTCGTCCGTCTCCTCTGGCTGGCCCTGCTCACTGTGACAGCCACACCAGCCTCTGGCACAAGGAGGAACTGGTGTCCCCGAACATGTCTCCACGGTCTTCACAACCCAGCCTCTCGAGAGGCCTAACTGGGCGCCACCAGGCTGCTTCATACAGCTCTCAAAGCTTCTTTTAAGAGGAAAAATGTAAAACATAGATAAATTAATAAATGGCATTAAAAATGGCTCATTATCTGGGGGGAAATGCTCCATTCCTACCTCCCGTTGTAAAAAATTCAAATAAAAATTAAAAACAGTTCTTGAGGAAAATTTAGGGTTTACAAGTAAGGAAGAACTTTTTAGGCATGAAAACTGAAGTCAGGTTCCTTCCCTCCTTCCTCCCATACCTCTCTCTCTGTCTCTAAGTAAAAATAAAAAAAAAAAAAAAGAAAACTGAAGTCAGATAAAGCAAAGGAAAACGACAAATCTGACCATGTGAGTACTGCTACATTGGTATCTACATAAAACTATGTCGAAAATTTAAAAATTAAAAAAAACCCTCATCATCATAAACTGCAAAAATATTTACAACAAATAATAGTTTATATTACTAATGGATAAACTCATTTATAAACATATAATTTATGAATTTATAATGCTAATTTATAATGAAATCTATATTAAGGCCTGGGCACGATGGTTCACATCTATAATCCCAGCACTTTGGGAGACCAAGCTGGACAGATCACCTGAGGTCAGGAGTTCAAGACCAGCCTGGTCAACATGGTGAAGCTCTGTCTCTACTAAAAATACAAAAATTAGCCAGGAGTGGTGGTGGGCACCTGTAATCCCAGCTACTCGGGAGGCTGAGGCAGGAGAATCACTTGAACCCGGGAGGTGGAGGTTGCAGTGAGCCGATATCCCGCCACTGCACTCCAGCCTGGGTGACTAAGCAAGGCTGTGTCTCAAGAAAAGAAAGAAAGAAATTTATAATAACATTAAAACTGATTTACATTGTTATATTATTTAATTTATATTAAAATTAAAACTAATTTATATTGCCAATTTATAATGACTCAATGAAAAATGGGCAAGAGATACAAATACACAATCCTAAGAGAAGAAACACAACTGGGCAATAAACATATGAAAAGATGAATTTCATTCTTTATTACAGAAAATGCAAAAACCCACACACACACACATTTCTTTTTTTTAACAGAATCTCACTCTGTCACCCAGGCTGGAGTGCCGTGGTGCGACCTCAGCTCACCGCAACCTCTGCCTCCTGGGTTCAAGCAATTCTCCTGCCTCAGCCTCCTGAGCAGCTGGGATTATAGGCACCCACCACCACACCTGGCTAATCTTTGTATTTTTAGTAGAGACGGGTCTCACCATGTTGGTTAGGCTGGTCTCAAACTTCTGACCTTGTGATCTGCCTGCCTCGGCCTCCCACAGTGCTAGGATAACAGGCGTGAGCCACCATGCCCGGCCACATTTCTTTTTAACCAGTCTGACTGGTGTTATTCTGGTATTGGTGACGATGTGATCAAATGACTACAGGAAAACACAGTTGTGGCAGTGTAATTGTTACGTCTTTCTGGAAGGCAAGTTCTCAGTATTTATCAGCATTTACCCTTCAGGAGTACTTGCATGAGTAGATGAAGATGTATACACATGCATTTTAACTACACCATTTCTTTTTTCAGATATGAGATCTCATTCTGTTGCTCAGGGTGGAATGCAGTGGCATGATCATAGTTCACTATGACCTCAAACTCCTGGGTTCAGGCAATCCTCCTGCCTCAGCCTCTCAAACAGCTGCAGCTACACAGACCACACCTGGCTAACTTTTTATTTTTTGTAGAGACGAGATCTGACTATACTGCTCCAGCTGGTCTCAAACACCTAGCTTCGGGCAAGTCCCCTGCCTTGGCCTCCCAAAGTGCTGGGATAACAGGTGTCAGCCACAGTACCTGGCCCAGCATTTTTTTTTTTTTTTTTTTTTGAGACGAAGTTTCACTCATGTTACCCAGGCTGGAGTGCAATGGCGCGATCTCGGCTCACCGCAACCTCCGCCTCCCGGGTTCAGGCAATTCTCCTGCCCCAGCCTCCTGAGTCGCTGGGATTACAGGCACGCGCCACCATGCCCAGCTAATGTTTTGTATTTTTAGTAGAGACGGGCTTTCACCATATTGACCAGGATGGTCTCGATCTCTTGACCTCGTGATCCACCCGCCTCGGCCTCCCACAGTGCTGGGATTACAGGCTTGAGCCACCGTGCCCGGCCCAGCATTATTTTTAATACAAAAATTATATACTATTTATCGTCTGTCCATCAGTAAGAAATTGCTTACACAGATTTTGTTCTAAATCCACAACCCTATGGTTCAGTTCTTGTGGCTGAACGCGTTAGAGTCTTTGAGATTTCAGGAAACATCATATGGTTTGTATCCCAGGTACTGTCACAGCTACAGGAGGTCTGGACTAGTGCTCCGTAATCACACACATTAATATTTTATCCAAAAAGCACAAGACAATCTGTACATGACACCAGCTCTTTCAGTTCACGATGGTACCACGCTTACAGACATGGGCCTCTCATTTGGGACCTCATATCTGTATAAGGAAAATTGTCGGCATTTATCAGCAAATCTCCATGACGCGAAAACAGCAAGTTGCTGAACAGAATGTACAGTGCTGTCCAACTTTTAGTTACAAATCATCTGTACGTGTGCATTTGTACAAAAAAAGAACCCTGGCCGGGCGCGGTGGCTCAAGCCTGTAATCCCAGCACTTTGGGAGGCCGAGGCGGGTGGATCCCGAGGTCAAGAGATCGAGACCATCCTGGTCAGCACGGTGAAACCCCGTCTCTACTAAAAATGCAAAAAAAATTAGCTGGGCATGGTGGCGCGTGCCTGTAATCCCAGCTACTCAGGAGGCTGAGGCAGGAGAATTGCCTGAACCCAGGAGGCGGAGGTTGCGGTGAGCCGAGATCGCGCCATTGCACTCCAGCCTGGGTAACAAGGGCAAAACTCCGTCCCAAAAAAAAAAAAAAAAAAAGAACCCTGAGAGGACACAGAATAAAATGCCAACAGTCGGTGGGATTACAAAGTTGACTCTCTGCTTTGTATCTTTATGTAATGTAGGAATCTTCTAAAGGAAGTATATGGCATACTTATGATCAGGAAAAAGGCTATTTTCATTTCACTCCAACAATAAAGATGGCTGGTGGCCCGAGTGTCCACACCCGATGGCCAGCACGGTCAGCTCGGCTCAGCCCACACACTGCTGACCAGCATGCCCCTCTGAGTGTTCCTCCCGTGTCTGTCCCTCCATTCTAGGCCTAGCATGGGCATTCTCATGTCTGTCGACACCCTGGGACCTCCTGTCTGCTCAGCTCTGTGGGAGGAAAGACTCGTAAGTGCCAAAGCAGGAGACTGAAGCCTCAGTCAACTCCTGTTTAATAAACAGAATATAGAAAGAAGAATCTAGGAATAAGTATCATGAGTGATTAGATATCCATCTTATTGAATATTAAGGCTTGATTAAAGCCTTCTTGTACTTTATGCATAATTTTCTAGGAATTTCAAGTTGCCGTGGTCAGGAACTGACAGTGGACACTATAGGATGTGGCCACAAGGCAAGGGCATAAACAGCTGTGGAGCATCGACTGGTTTGATCAGCAGAGATGATCTGTTGAATGTGAAGCCAAGCCCTCTGTCACCCCCGCATAAGGGTTGCTGGAGGGCATCAGAAATCTGCGGTAGCACCAGTGCTTGGTGAAGCACCTGCTACTCAGCAGGCGTTGGAAGGGAACAATCCCTGTCCCTGGGCGAGTCGGTGCCCTCCACTCCCCCACGTGCTTGTGGAAGGACTGACAGTAGTCAGCCCAACCCGCAGCTGCCCAGGGGCTTGTCTCTACCGGTTACAATCTGTGTCTGCTCTCACTCCCTACTTCTGCACCTGGCTCCCCTTCTGTAGACAGTAAGAAGTAGCATCATTTTTGAAGCCGTTGTTCTTACTTGAAAGGCATAACCTAAAGTGCTGACACTCACTGCGCCCACCCCCGCTTCGGCCCTTTGTCCCTTAGACTCATGACCCTGCCCCCGGTTTTGTACCCAACAGAAGTCGGAGTGTCCAGGCGCTCAGGGCCACTACTGAGCTCCGCGTACGAGGTGGCAGTGGACCGCTGGGCCCAGCCCTCTTTCTCTTGATCTCGGTGTCTTGTGTGTTTATTCGTACAGTCTCTTGTCTCCGCACTGGTAGAGAATACCCTCCAGACCCAGTAGGGCTGAACCCTATACAACTCCTGCCTCTGGTCCTTCCTGGACTCTCGACTCATGTGTCCACCTGCCTGCTCGACACCTCCAGTCCGCAGCACAGCCTCGAATCCGTGGAAACAAGGCTGAGTTCCTGAGCTCCCCTAAATCCACTTAGCAGGCTCTCCATCTCAGGAAACGGCGGCTCAATCCTTCTAGCTGCTCCGGCCACAGCCCTGGAGTCCTTGGGAATCCACACCCTCCCAGACACTGTGCCAACATATCCACTCTGCATTCACACACACCCAGACTCCAGCACCCGTCAGCCTCTGCTGACTTTACCTGGCCCCCAGCCAGTGCCAGCCAGTGATCACCTACAAGGGCCCTGCTGGGTCTGCTGCTCCCATGCTTGCCCCCGTGGTGGGCTTACAGCCCTGTACTCAGAGGAGTCCTCTCAACAGGAAGCTGGAGTGAAGTGCTCCAACTTCCAGGCTCTGGCCTGGAACCCAAGCTGAATCCATTCACCTTCTGAGGTGGCACCGGCCTCCCGAGATGACTCTTGTGCCCCACCTCCTTCTCTTCTCCAGCCCCACACCCGTCACTGCTGACTTCACCCCTCCCTCCTTGCTGCTGTCACCTGTGCAGTGTCCCCGGCCAGACCCCTCACCTGGGTTAACTCTTAGCTCCAACTCCACCTTCCTGACTTGACACTGCAGCTGGCTCCCAACCCTTCCAGCATGTCTATCCTGCCTGTTATCTTTCCCACAGCATCAATCATCTCGTAACAAACTGTATAACTTCTTATATTTGCATCTGACTGTGTATGTTGGAAGCACTGGAACAGGGCCCAGCACACAGCAGGCAGCACACAATGAATGCCTCAGCAAATCCACGCTCTGGGCCTCTGTGGCCAGCCTGGGCCCTGCTGAGCACAGGTCTGGCCCTTCTGCCCTTGGTGCCGGTATCCAGTCACACACCACTGACTTCAGGGTTTCATTTCTTGCTCTAATCACAGCTTTAGGAATTTCCTGAGCTTCAGACTCTGATGGAGAACAGCTACTTGAACACGTCCAGAGTGTCTCCCAAGCACCTCAGACACACAGCAGAGCCAAGCTGGGCATCCTCCCTCCCAAATCATGCTTCACCAGCAAATGCCCTGACCTTATAGACCAAGCCAGACACCTCCTTCTCATGCCCCCAAAGCACTGCAGGCTGCAAGTCCAGTCCCCTCCTTGCTGTCCCTCAGGTGCCCATAGCTCTAACTTCTCCAGGACCAGCCTCCTGGCACTGCCTGCTCCATCTCCACTCCCCGAAGGCCTCTCTGCCCCTCAAGGGTGCAGCTACGTCCCTGGGCCAGTCCCTTTGGGTTTATCACCACTCCCACCATAGTATCAGTAATCCTCATCCGACCTGGGGGGCCTGCCCCTCCACCTCACCCCCACACCCTGTTTCCTTCTCACACGTGGTGCCCCAGCCGCAACTCTACCACCTACAAAGTCCCGTAGCTTTCCACCTTCCCTTCCCCTGCATGGGATGCTGCTCCCTCAGCCTGGAATCCCAGCTGATCCCCTCACCTTACGATAGTGGCAGCAGCCCCTCAAGGCCCACGAGGGGACTCCTGCACCCCTCCTGCTCCATAGTCCCTCGAGGCCTGTGAGGTGATTCCTGCACCCCCTCTTCCCCATAGCCTCTCAAGGCCCACGAGAGGACTCCTGCACCCGCCCTTTCCCCATAGTCCCTCATGGCCCGTGAGGTGATTCCTGTACCCCCTCTTCCCCATAGTCCCTCAAGGCCCATGAGGTGAGTCCTGCACCCCCCCGTTCCCCATAGTCCCTCATGGCCCGTGAGGTGATTCCTGTACCCCCTCTTCCCCATAGTCCCTCAAGGCCCACGAGGGGACTCCTGCACCCCTCCTGCTCCATAGCCCCTCGAGGCCTGTGAGGTGATTCCTGCACCCCCTCTTCCCCATAGTCCCTCAAGGCCCATGAGGTGAGTCTTGCACCCCCTCTTCCCCATAGTCCCTCATGGCCCGTGAGGTGATTCCTGTACCCCCTCTTCCCCGTAGTCCCTCAAGGCCCATGAGGTGATTCCTGTACCCCCTCTTCCCCATAGCCTCTCAAGGCCCATGAGGTGAGTTCTGCACCCCCCCGTTCCCCATAGTCCCTCATGGCCCGTGAGGTGATTCCTGTACCCGCCCTTTCCCCATAGTCCCTCAAGGCCCACGAGGGGACTCCTGCACCCGCCCTTTCCCCGTAGTCCCTCAAGGCCCATGAGGTGACTCCTGTACCCCCTCTTCCCCATAGTCCCTCATGGCCCGTGAGGTGATTCCTGTACCCCCTCTTCCCCATAGTCCCTCATGGCCCGTGAGGTGAT